TCACGATAACATACATCCTTCCTCACTCCTCAAGGGTTGGCAACACTACATTATCCATTTCATTGATCACCTTGGGGATATATGAGACAAGTCATCTACTTCGTGCTTCGCACGGGCTGGGGAGATATACACATATTCATTGTTTGTGAAGAAATTTTTGTTGGGTTTTTTAATATGTGAAACTCCACAAGAACTGTGTGAAGTTGGGACTCTTTAATATGTGAAATCAAACAACTTGTATGCATGACATCTATAAAATAATAAAAATGAAATAAGAAAATGTAAAATTGGTCGAAATGAGAGAAAATATGAAACGAAACATATATAATTGTCTTGGTAAAGAAGCATAAATGAGCACAAACAATATAATGCAATGTTTCAAAATATGAAAAAAAGCCAAAAATTAGCATTTGATAAATTCTTAGTCCAAATGAAGAGGAACAATGCTAAAAAATATTCAAGTCATATTGCATCAACACCTGATACCACGCATTCATGTGACTGCAATCAATAGACCAAAAAGTAGATCATCTTTGCTTTCAATAATAATGAAAAATTTGTTATACTCCCTCAGTCCATTTTTTATGTTCGTGCTTTCCTTTTTAGTCCGTCCATAAATAAAATTCTTGTTTCCTTTTTTAGTAATCTTTTTTATATCAAAAGGCCTCGTTACCCTTACTTTATTTCTATCCTCTTCTTTTTCTCTTTTCCTCCACTCTTCACCGCCACCCCACCCAACCTTTTTCCATCTTTTTTTTTCTTTTTTCTTCTCTCTTTTCTTCTTTCCCTCATTTTTGTTCTTTCCTTCTCCATTCCCAGCGGTCCATCTTCTTCTTCTTCTCCCCTCTGTTTCTCCTCTCTTATTTCCCCTCTATCTTTTCTTTTCTTTTCTTTCTTTTTCCAGATTTCTTCCTCCTCTCTCTTCCCTTCTTCTTTTCCCTTCTTCTTTTCCCTCCTTCTTTTCTCTTCTTCTTCTTCTTCTTCTTCTTCGTTTTGTTCTTCGGATTCTTCATTTTCTTCTTCAGATAATTCGGATTTGGTCCAGATCTTAAAATGGAGTAATTCAGATCTATGTGATGGATACAGTACCCGAAATTCCAATTTGAGCCAAAAATCACAAATTCTTGTTGGAATTGCTCCACAAACTTAAGAATGTGATTAAGAACTCCAAGTCGCTCACAATACCTCAAAAATGGAGTTCAAAACAGCTGCAAACCGAAGGAATTCAGCCCTGCAAGTGCCGCTGTGAACAATGTCTGCGCTAGGGTTGACCTTCAATTGAGTTGAATTCCTCCACAAATCTTCGAGATTGAGCTGAAATTAGTCTTCTACATGGATATGCGAATCCAAGGAACCAAGAATCATCAAAAATGGACCACAAAATCAAGGGGAAATTCTCTTGGGAAGATCCGTGGCACTGTTCTTGCCTCTTTGATTTTGGGATGATAGGGTTGGGCGGCGGGGCATTGCCGGCGGTTGAAGATGTCCGATCGGACATTGAGGGAGTGGGTAGTGGATGGCCATATAGTGAGGCAGGGAAGGTGGGGAGGGCATAATTGAAAAGTCAATGTAAAATTTAATATTTCTTAATCTCCGTGCCGGGTCAAAGTATGAACATTAAAAATGGACGGAGGGAGTATATTTTAGTGTAATTGGAAAAAATATGACCAACGGTATCCTAATTATCATCAAACAAGTTTGGTGTGCGGAGTGCACACTTCATTGAATTTTTTAGGATAAAAGTCCTGTTTTATCGGGAGTTCCAAGGGGGCAGCCCCCCGAGGAGGGTTCAAGGAGCGGCAGCCCCTACGAGGTCCAAGGGGCAGAGCCCCTGGCTGGGGTCGAAATGCTATGTTAAGAAATTCATTTGAATTTTTATTTTCGAAATTTCTTTAAAAGTATAATCGATAAAGATAAGCACCGATTTTCAAAGGTTTCGCGCGAAGAATCGCACGCATTGGATAAAAAGATGCGAACGCGTCTTTTCTTCTCCACCGCAATTCTATATATTCCCGGAAATCCTTGGTCGAAGGTGTTCGAAAAATTCACAACAATCCCATATTCGTTCTTGTTACTTTCGAGTTTTATCCAATTGAATTTTGGATTGAACAACCAAAAAATTAAATCTGAAAGTGTTATACACGACTCTCGATTGGATTTTGTTGGGGAAAATCCCACAAAACGGTAAGTGAATCACGCACTCAAATGAGAATAAATTAAATAAAATATGAAGTATGTAAAGAATCTCAGCCATCAATCCATTATCAATGAAACTAAAGATCATGATAAGAGAAAACTTACATTACATAATAAAGAGAAGGTAGAGTATTGATAAGGGTAAACCAATGCAAAAGGTTACGATGTAATTGGTGCAAACACATTTTGCATAAGTTGTTCAACCAATTCAAAAAGTCCCACCTAGAATTGGCGCCTGTTCACGGAGGCACTTTTTGAATCGGTTGTTTCAAAACTACCGATTTAAAAGGTCTTTTCCAAATTTGGGAGGCACTTTTTGCATCGATTGTTTCAAAATAATTGATTTAAAAGGTCTCTTCCAAATTCTGGGAGGTACCTTTTGAATCGGTTGTTTCAAACAAATTGATTCAAAAGGTCTCTTCCAAATTCTAGGAGGCACCCTTCGAATCGGCTGTTTCAAAACAATTGATTCAAAAGATCTCTTCCAAATTCTGGAAGGCACCTTTTGAATCGGTTGTTTCAAAACAACCGATTCAAAAGGTTTCTCCCAGAATTGACGCCAATTCTGGGAGGACCTTTTGAATCGGTTATTTTGAAACAACCGATTCAAAAAGGGGTTTCTTTTAAACTGAAATTTGCAGCAGATCAAAACAGAACAAGTTTACAACGAAATTGCTGCAGAAAACTTTTTGCAACCATTACCAAAACAGGCTAACTACAACTACAAAAAAATGTCCTTTAGTGTGAGTACAAACCTTAATTGAAGTTAAGAAAACCCTCACCAAAGCTATTTAATGAGAAGATATTTACTCTCATCAACCGTCACTATAGCCTCCGTAGTTAATTACAAATAATGACAAAATCTAAATCCTATCATTAAAACTATTTAATGAGAGTACTTTTACCTTCATCAAAAAGATCTTTTTATGACAAAAAATCCCATCATAAAAACAATTCATACTACTAATAACTTTTCACATTTGTAATTTTTATGATTGAATATTTGTAAAAGAATATATATATGATTGAATATTTGTCAAAGAATATTTGACAAAATCATACTATTAATTCTTGATGCTCAACCGGTTCCTACAGTGGCTAAACCGGTTCAAAGCAAAGGCAAAGATCCTGCACAGGAACAATGGACAATGGTTTCAAACAAAAAAGGTGGGGCTGGACAGCTTTGGAGAAAGAAAATGGTTCAGTTTCAGTCTGGTCCAGGGGAATGCTCCACACAAACAAATACCAAACAGCTACAAGACAACCCCAAAACCACTAAAGATCAACTGTACCAGTCACCTCAGACCCTGTCAGTAACCCTTCCATTGAAGGGGGCCCAATTCTTATTTCTCCTGTTAGGCATAATTTGGATGGTAATTATTTATCTCTGGTTCTATGGAAGCCCTTACCTTTTATTGAGAACTCAAAGTTTAACTCCTTATTGGAAAGTGATAGTGAGTATTCTGACTGTGAGGATCTGGGTATAGTTGATGATCAATTTCTTGAGAAATTACTGCCTCCCACTTCCACTGTAACACAATCTGCATATGAAAAGGTACCAGACATCAATACCACAATCAAATCAAGGCTAAGATCTGCAAAAAACAACATAATTTTCTCTTTCTGGCAATTTTGGAACCCATTGTAGCAGAAAAAAATTGACTTCTACAAACTCAAGCTCAATTTCAGCCATGGATTCTCTACTCAGTACAATAAATGCTGGATATTCTAGGACAGTAACTACCTGAATCTTTTACAGGTTCAGGAGGGTGACCAGATTACTACGTTTTTATTCTACAATTCATTCACTCAGGGTCCTATTTACATTAGTGCAGTTTATGGGAAACACAATAGAAATGAAAGATTACTCCTGTGGGATTCCATCAGTGATCACAACCCTAATGATCAACCTTGGATGGTGGGAGGGGACTTCAACACTATTGCTACCCTCTTTGAACATCACGGTCATGTCTCACCATGCACTAGAAGTATAGAGGATTTCATGGAATGTATCATCAGCTGTAGTCTCCTGGAGCCTTGCCTTAAGGGAAACATGTTTACCTGGATGGGCAACAGAGTTAAAGGAAGGGTGCTACACAGACTAGATAGAATACATATCAATCAAGCCACCATGGATCTTTATTCTGAAACTTTCCTATATCATCTTAGAAGAACTTCAGATCACAAACCTCTTCTTTTGGACTGTGTCAGCCACAATTTCACAGGTCCTAAATCATTTAGATTTATTAATGCTTGGATTCTAGATGATAGCTTTCATGGGATGGTTACAGATGCTTGGAACTCCATTACTACTGGTAGGGGGATGAGGGGCCTAGCTACTAAACTGAAACACCTCAAGAAATGTATTAAGGACTGGAATCATAACCACTTTGGAAATACTTTCTCCCAAGTCAAGGAAGCAGAGATGGAGGCCCTCCAAGCACAAGAGAAGTTTGAAGAGTCTGAAACTCCTTTCAACAGAGAGGCTTTTAATCTAGCTAATTCTAAACTTCTCCTAGCTTGCAATAAAAAAGAACAATACTGGGCTCAAAAAGCAAATGTCAGATGGTTATCTTGTGGTGATTCCTCTACTAAATTCTTTCACTCTTATGTGAAAGGAAAGAGGATAAAAGCAAGTATCAAACTCCTTAAAAATCTAGATGGGAAAGAGATGGAGGATCAAGCTGAAATCTCCAACTTTATTACCAACCACTTTGAGAACACGTACTGTGAAGATTACATTGGAAGCATGGACAACATTCTTCCCTATATACCCACTCTTATTACAGATCAAGACAATGACTCTATGGTGAAGTTGCCCCTTGAGGAGGAGATCAAAACAACAATCTAGCAGCTTAATCCTAATAGCTCGGTAGGAACAGATGGATATAATGGTGAGTTTTTCAGGAAATTCTGGGACACTATCAAGGAGGATATCATCAGTGCTACACAGGAACTTTTCCTAGGAATTTGATAAGTCATCAAATCTCATATTTTATTCGCCCATATTAGGCCTTTTTAGTATATTCCAAATGCATTTTATACAAATTTAATCACTATTATGTTTATATAGTAATTTAGGCTAATACGGAGTATTCATATTTTGGTCATAAATTGCATTCTTTTGAGTATTCTTTTACTTCACTATTTTTATTATCTCATTTACCTTGACGTAGGTCTTAAAAGTCGTTTTGCGAAGCATAAAAAGCTCGGTGAAAATGTCAAGTTTAAATGGGACAAGTCACTTGGGACTTGACCCAATTGGTCATTACGCAGCCCGGTCCAAAGCATCCCAAAAACAATGAAGAGGAAGCCGTCCAAACAAAGAAACGGAGTCAAGACCTGTGCATTCCTTCGTGTGTACCTGCGGCAGCCCAATCCACCAGTCCAGCAGCTGCCCAGGTCTCAAAAAATCAGCGGAAGAGTCCAGCGGAGTATGTGTAGCGCAAAGGGGATTCCACCGTTGAGACGGCAAGAACAGCGTACGAGGCTGAAATTCTGGAAATTTGGAGTCCTAATCCTAGACGAAGGGCTGATTTCCAGCCCTATAAATGCAGCAAGCGGCAGCGAGAGAACGGGGGAAGAAGACACGCGGAAAGCAGCGGCGAAGAAACCAGAGGAAACAGAACAACGGACGCAGCAGAGCAGCTCTAGGCCAGAGTTCTTCTTCCAGCGCCAATTCTGGGTTCTACCTCTCAATTATGATTTCTTGTTCTAGAATTATGATTGGCTAGACTCTTAATTTCCAATTCCAAATTAATACTCTATGATTTGATTTGTGAGATTTTATGCTTAATGTTTTATTTGTCATGATATTCTATGTTTTTTATGAGATACTTTTTATTGAATTCATCAGTTTGATTAATTTGGATGCATACTTTTTAATTAATCTTGTGAGTTTATTGCTAATTGAATTCTTGGTTGTTTGATTGAGATTTCATTCTAGTAGCAATCATGTTTTTTAAGGAAAATATAGATGCAAATTGAATATTTGTCCGTTTGGAAGAATGTTGTTTGGGTTGGCTAAAAATTTACTTAACTTTATGCAATTGAATCTTGAATCCTAGGCGTTCGTTATAGGTTTGGGTTGTCTTTTAGACTCTCAATTAGGCTTAATTGATGGTGTTTGTCACTTTTAAGTATTTCAGGTGAATTAGGAATTATTGTGCGTTTGCAAATAATCTACGCCAACTATCTTGATAAATAAATATCTTTTGTGTCAATGATCAAATCGAATTCATGAGTTAATACTTAGGATTGGAAACTCTTTAATCAAATTCTTTTAAATTTCTATTAGTTGCTTGGTTTACTTTTAGAATTTATTCTCTAGCTGTTTTAAAAAAATTATTTAGCTTTAAATCAACTTCAAGAAAAAAATATCTAAGAATTAGTAGTTAACTCTTGCCTCTCTGTGGGATCGACCTGAACTTACCATATCTACGGGTTAGTTTAGTTTTATTATTTGGTGTTAAAACAACATTCATCAAATTTTTGGCGCCGTTGATGTAGTGGGAAATGATCTTTCCTCATCACAACATTTTTACTCATTTATTTATTTTCTCTTCTTTTGGTGGTAATTCGAGTGAATTGTATGCTTTACTATCAAGACTATGCTCTAGAACCAAACCAAGAGTGTCTGTGGTTTCAAACTCTACAACTTGCTCTAGGAGAATGTCTATTGCATCAATGGAGAAGACTGCATAATCTTCACTTGGGTAGCGCATGGCCTCAAAAATGTCAAAGCGTACTGCATTTCCATCAAATTCCATGGTCAGAATCCTCCATTTTAAGAACATAAAAATCTGTTGGAAATATAAGATTTTCAATCTGCACTAAAACATCCTCAACTAAACCTTCAGGATATACGCTAGATCGATCAGCCAATTTTATAACAACACTAGTTGTATTTAAAGTGCCAATATTTAAAGATACAAAAACTGAGTAAGGCATAACATTAATAGATGCACCCAGATCACACAAAGCCCTCTCAAATTTCTTCCCTCCTATAGTACAAGGAATCGAAAATGAACCTTTATCCTTGCACTTAACAGGGAGCTTCCTTTGAAGTATAGCAGAAACATTTTTGCTCAAACTTACACTCTCAGTCCCTTTCAATCTCCTCCTGTTTGTGCAAAGTTCCTTCAAAAACTTGGCATATCGAGGGACCTGTTTAATTGCATCAATGAGTGGTATGTTTACCTCTGCTTTACGAAAAGTTTCCCAAATGTCCTTCTCATTGTCCTCTTTCCGTTGTTTAGCTAACTTGGAGGGAAAAGGAGGCAAAGACACGTTAGGCGATAAACTAGAATTTAGGGGAGAATTGACCTTTTCATCCGTAGGACTTGCGTCCTTTTGTAGTTGAGGTGTTTCTGTATTAATAATCTGATCATCTTTGACCTCAGTTTCACGCTCTTCATTAACCTTCGGTTCTCCTTCCTTGGTTCTAGATTCGCCTAAAGCCTTGCCACTACGAAGAGTGACTGCATTAGCACTTTTGTTTGGGGTCCTAGACTGTGAAGGAAGTTTATTAGAGAGTTGGGACTCAAGTCTGCTTAGTGATGTAGCAAGCTGGCCTACTTGTGTCCTCAAGTCTTGCATTCCAACTCTGGTTTTCTCCATACACAACATCACTTCCTTTTCGGATCTGTTGCTTAAGGGGTCAAAGGTGACGTGCCACCCATGCCAACCTAAGATGGTGTTCCAGTATATACATTTATTCATTTCAGCATCTTGATAATGTGTAGATAACCAAAATTTAGGTAAGAAAAGAGATTTCCAAAAGATTAACTTTACTTGAAAAGCAACTCAGGATAAAAAAGAGTTAGAAAAAACTGCTCTACACACTTCTAAATAAATTGTGCACATTGAACTTAGCTAATTGAAAGGTGTGAGATTAAATGAAAATAGGTTCTGATTAGCTATGACTTAAAAGCCGTGATTTAAACTTTAAGGTAGCAAACTCATTTTTAAAACACTGAACCCTATCTATCACAACTGTAATTTAAATTTAATGTTCTAATGCAACATTTAGAGTGCTAAAAGATAAAGAGAAACCATTATGATTCCTAATTTCTCTTGAGATGCTTACTTTTTTTCCTTTAACCTAAGTTTTCTTTTAAAAACTTAAAACTTTTTTAAACTTTATGACCAAATCACATCTAAAATGCAGATTTTTCTAAAATTCTAGCAAGCAGGTATGAAACCTTTAAGGTATTAATGCATCTTCAAAATATCCAGAATATCAAGGAGAGAGATGCAATCCAATCTGGCTTGGTTTAAAAACTCACAATTCAGCCCCCAAATGTGCTTAAGTGGACAGTTTTTTGCAGTTTTTTATGCATATAAGGCCTCTTAGATGTGATGAATCCAGAAAAGCAACATGTTCATAGCCCCCTTTACTAAAATCAGCATTTGCAGTTACAAACATTCAGGACAGAGAGAAGAATCACGGGCTGTTTTAAGTCATTATATGTGTATTCATCCCAAAAATGTACAATCAGAATCAAAGAGGTAGAGTTCAACATCAAAAATTCAACAACTATCATCATTGTGACCTATTTTTCAGCAATCTAGGATCCAATGAATAAGTAAGGGGATGTGTACCTTTGTCTCCTCAAGATAAAAGGCTTGAAACATTCATAACCAGAATTCCTATTCCCAAGGCATTTGGTAGTATCTATATTATCTTAATTCCTAAGGTGGAATGAGCTAAAGCTATTGATGACTTTAGACCCATAGCCATATCCACCTTCTTCAGCAAAATGCTCTCCAGAAAGGGAAAGGAATTGAGGAATTGACTTAAGCCCCTCTTCTTAACAAGTTAATCTCCCCTGAAGAAGCTGGGTTCCAAAAAGGGAAAGGAATTGAGGAGCACATTCTTCTAACTAATGAACTAATGCATAAATTAGAATTAGAAGTTAGAGGAGGTGATGTAATGATTAAGCTGGACATGGCCAAGGCCTTTGATAAAATGTCATGGATCTACATAGGGGCTTTTCTTCAAGGTTTTGGTTTCACAGAAAAGTCCATTTTCCTACTTCTACAAAACCTGAGGGCTACATACATGTCAGTTCTTGTCAATGGCAAACCATCAGGTTTCTTCCAAATCAAGAGAGGAGTCAAACAAGGGGATCCCTTATCCCCTCTCCTCTTCATCTTGGGTTATGAGGGTTTTTCTAGGAGCTTAAATCATGCAATTAATACTTGTTACATTGCTCCTTATAAGGCTAGCAGGAGTATAGTTGTTTCCCATTTTGCCTTTGCAGATGACCTGATTCTGTTTCTCAAGGGAAACTTCAGAAACCTATTGAGATCAAAAAAAATTCTAAACAACTATCTCAGAGCCTTAGGCTAGGAAGTGAATCAGAGGAAAAGCAGAATCTACTGCAAAAAGAATTGCCATGGGGATTATAGACTTAAAGTGGAAGAGGCTCTTGGCTATAGGATTGACAACCCCCCTTTCAAATATCTGGGTTCTACCATCACAACTGGTAAGTTAATTCATTGTGATCAGATTCTTAATCACTTTGATATTTATCTTAACAGTTGGTATAGCAAAGAACTCAACCCTATGAGTAGACTCATACGCATCAAACATGTCCTTAGTGCCATCCCCTTGCATACTATAGCAGTACATGACCTACCTAAGTCTATCATCAACTTGATTCACTCTAAATTGGCAAACTTCTTCTGGGGAACTAAAGATGGTAAATACAAGCGTCACGGGGTTAACTGGACCACTCTTTGAAAACCTACAAGAGAGGGAGGGCTAGGTACCAGAAGCTTATTTGACATACAAAAAGCCTCCGCCTTGAAGCTATGGTGGAAGTCAATTACAGAGCAATCTATTTGGGCATCCTATATGAGGGACAAGTATTATAGGGATGGACTATTTGATGCTAAATTATATGACTCTTCCTCTTGGAAGAGAATTTGCAGAATCTCTCACATAGGAGTCTAGAATACTACCCTGTCCAATCACACCTACAGATAGATCAATGGAGAATTTACCTTCAAAGAGGCTTACTGGGCAGTAAGAGAAAGAAATATCAGTGACCAGATTTTCACCCTTAATTGGAACAAATTTCAGATTCCTAAGGTTAAACTTTTCACTTGGAAAGCTTTGAACCAGTTTCTCCCTTTTCCTAATATACCCAACAAATTGAACTATAACATGCCTAGTAAGTGCTTATTATATGGCAAGGCTGAAGCTACTGATACACACACGCTACTCACTTGTGAAATGGCACAAAGCATCTGGAAAGCCTTTGCGGACTACATTGGAGGACCAGTTTGGAATCAAGAAACAAAGCTAAGGGATTACCTTGTGCAATGGTGGGTCACTTTTAAAAAAAACGTCTCTCCGTGGTTTACTCAAGTTAATCCTTCCTGGATGTATACTATGAATCTTTTGAAAGACTTAAAATAGATGCATATATGAGGATCACAAAGCAACAAAGGTGGGAATTAACATTGAAATCCAAAAATTAATCCAAAAATTTGCCTTGGTGGGCAGTTTCTTTGGGAAAAGGCCCCCTCTGGAGATCATCAGAAAATGGCTGGAAAAAAGAGGCTTTGTGGGATTCTCTGTTGGGCTCCTCCACCCTTCCCATGTACTCATCAACTTCTCGTCTAAAAAGGATTACCAAAGATTATTCCTGTGCAAAGATTGGAATATCCAAGGAGCCACCATGAGCATCACCAAGTGGACCACTGATTTTGATCCCAGTAAGGTAACTCCAATCATTCCTGTCTGGATTTCCATTGCAAACCTGCCTATTCACCTTCATGATCATAGAGCACTGATGGCTATTGCAAATATCTTTAGTAAACCTATTAAACTGGACTTTACTACAGAAAATTTCAGCAGGCCTTCAGTGGCCAGATTCTGTGTAGAAATGAACCCCTTACTTCTGCAAGCAAAATTCGAAAACCTCCCTGATTTCTGCAAAATTTGCAAAGGAATCAACAGACATTCAGCCTCCTGCAAGCACTCTACTCCTCCAATGGCTAGGATTCTCCTGCCAAACAGCAACCAAACACCCTCTCCCAACCTAAACTCCCATCACAGTGAAAATTCCTCCAAACAGCTACAAACCAAAAATCCCAGTGAAAACTCTTCCAAAACACTACAAACCAAAAAGCCCACTGTCCCTACCCCCACCACTAAACCATTGAGGCTTGTCACTACCAATCCCCCCACCTATTCCAACAACAAGCTGACAAAAACCACCTCAACACCTGCACCCCTCCCCCGAACCCAATCCCAGTGCCCACTCCTCTAACCCTGACCCCAATTTCTTTTGACCCACCTCTATCCAACCAAACAATTAATCACAACCAAGCCATTTCTCTCCCAGTCCCACTCTTTGCCAAGTCTTCCACCCCCATTCTAATCCCAGTACAACCCCCTTCTAATCAGGCCCTATCCCTCATCTCAGATCCCCTACCCCTTAATCCACCCTCCCCTTCTCTCCCTGCTGATCAGGATCTCTTTGAGACCACCTTTCAAGAGGAGATGTTTAATAACATCTTCCGCATCTTTGCACAAGGTAGAGATGAAAACATCAAATGTATTCTTAATAAGGCAGATCAGCCCAACCCACAACAAGAAGCCTACCACTCTGAAGGAGAAACTTTTCCCAGAAAATGTTCAAAACTTGCTAACAAGGAACCAAACTCATCAATCAGAACATTGGATTTAGAAACCAAAAGGAGATCAGCTAGGCTCCTAGAAAAGGTCTCCTCTCACAATGTCCTCTTCTGGAATATTAGAGGCATAGCCTCAAATCTCCCAAGATTAAAATTCCTTACCAAAGATTTACATATTAATTTTGTGGCAATCATTGAACCTAAACGTACTGGCAATAAAGTCACCCAATTTTAGCTAGGATTGGGTTTTGACTCTGCTCTCCAACTCTGCAACAATCAAATCTGGGCCTTCTGGAACTCAGACTCCTTGACACTGGACTCCTCTTTCTCCTACAGTCAGCTGGTCCATCTCCTCTTCACAAGCAAAACCCTGCAAACAAAACTTCATATTTTAACCATATATGGCAAGCACACTAAGGAAGAAAGAAGGGACCTATGACATTGCATCACCACCCTCTCTGGATCTATTAATGATCCATGGCTCTTAGGAGGGGATTTTAATGCTATCAGCTCACTCTCTCATCACAAGGGCAAAAACACACCCTGTATGGTTAGTATTATGGAATTTGACACTTGCATGGGTCTAGAAGCCTGGGAAAAATTTGGAGGAGATTAGATAGAATTTTCCTCAACTCCCACCTTGAAAACCTTAATTGCTTAACCTCTTCTAAACACTTAGCCAAAGGTGGTTCTGACCACTCCCCAATCTTCCTCAAAATTACCAATGGTAACTTCAAGGGTCCATTTCCCTTTAAATTCCGAAACTGTTGGACTGCTAGCCCTTCTTTCCTCACCCTAATTAAAGATATCTGGGAACCCTAGGGGAGGGGGAATGAGAGGTTTAATGGACAAGCTGGTGAATTTGAGGAGAATCATTCAAGCCTGGAAAAAGAATACCTTTGGGAACATCTTCAAGAACAGAACCAAGCAGGAGGATATCCTCAAACAAGCTGAGGAAGTCTACAATGACAACCCAACTCATGACAGTAACACCAGAATGCAACAAGCCAGATCAGATCTTAATACATGCCTAGCCACAGAATATTCCTATTGGAAGCAAAAATCCAATCTGAAATGGGTTAAAGAGGGGGACCTAAACACAAAGTTTTTCCAAGCTTTTGTCAAAAACAAAAGGAACTTCCAAAGGATTCAAAAAATCAAGAACACTGATAACAAATGGCTTACCGAGTGGGAGGATATTGCTTCAGAGGCCACCTCTTTCTTCAGCACCCTCTTCACACATGAGGACACTGACCTATGCCCAGACATCCTGGACAATATTCCCCTCACCCTTAACCCTAATGACAATCTCTCCCTTTGCAGCCTCCCCTCCATGGAAGAGGTTAAAACTGCAATCTAGGACCTCTGCCCATACAGCTCTCCAGGGCCTGATGGCTTCACTGGCCACTTTTTTAAAACCTCCTGGGACACCATCAAAGAAGATCTGTGGAAAGCTAGCCAAGAATTTTTCCTAGGTATCCCCCCTCCCAAAAGCCTCACCCAGTCTACCATCATCCTTATTCCTAAAACTGAGCACCCCTCAAAGTTCTCTGACTACAGACCCATTTGCCTCTCCAATTTCATTGCCAAAACCATTTCTAAGATCTTGGCTACTAGACTGTCCTCCATCCTCCCCAAAATCATCAGCCCTGAACAAGCTGGTTTCATGAAAGACACTCTTATTCAGGATCAAATCCTAATTGCTCAAGAAATGTTCCATGGCCTAGCTAATAAATGCAGGGGGGAAATTTGGCCATCAAACTGGATATGTCTAATGCTTTTGATCGAGTCTCTTGGGACTATCTGCTAGAAGTTTTGAGGAGATTTGGCTTCTCAAACCTGTTGGAACACGGATTTACGCCTATGTCGCACTAAACCGTGTTCGTTTTCTGACAGGTTTTGATAATGCCAAACCGCCGTGATAACAAGATCAAGCTGAGCAAACCAAAGGCGAAGGAACATGGCATGACGAATTGAAAACCAAGATCCAAGAACCAAGAACGAAGACTTAGAATTTATTGAGTCGGTCTTATTGTGATCAAGAACGACACAAACTTCCAAAACTTGGCTCTCTACGCTTACTCCATTAAAATACTCTTTTGCATATTCAAAAATGTTTTTCATAAGTTGTAAACAAGCCTAAAACACTTGGTGTTCGCCCAAACCAAAAACCAAGCCATCCGGCGTTCGGTTTTCAGAAACCGGCGTTCGGCATTTGGTTATCGTCGTTGGTTTTTACTTCTGGGCATATTTAAATAGTTCCCCAACAAAAACGCTTCAAAAACCATCCTTCGTTTTTGGTCGTTTAGTAAAAACCATGCGAAATGGCGTAAACTTGGCTAGCCGTGGTTTTTTATCTAAATGACGTGGTTTTCAAGTAGTTTTACTTGTTTTCTTAGCAAAATGCATTAAACAAAGGTTTTAAATACTTGGTTTTTACTTTGAAGAACTTAGATTTTTGACATCGGCTAACGGCATGACTAAACCAACCATGGGTCTAGCTAAACCAGCCCAACAGCGATGTTGGAGTGACCAACAGCGCTGTTTGGCATGGGCAGCTGAAAACCATGGTTTGGTGTTAAGTCTTCCAACATCGATGCTGGATGTTAGACATCGCTGTTGAGCCAAGGTTGGGTTTCCAGAAACATCTGGAACAGCGATGTAGGCTTCCCTACGTCACTTTCCAACCTAAGCCAAAAATAAATGCCTTGGCAGACAGTTTTTGGACAACGCTGTTGACCCAGCAACAGTGATGTCAGGCCAATTCCTCAACCTTCAAAGTCAGGCCTGAACAGCGATGTTCAAGTAACGAACATCGATGTAGGCACCTGACCGTTGGAAGGAATTTATGGCTAAAACTTTCCTTGTTTGGAAGTCAACAGGCAAAACAGCGATGTAGGGGTTTTGGACATCGATGTTGGCTTGACCGTTGCTTCCCAATTTTCAAAAACCAAGCCTAGAACAGCGATGTCCAAGCCATGGACATCGCTGTTTAGAGGATTTCCAACAGATCCAATTTTAATCAAATCCCACAAATTATGCCAATCATCCCCATTTTGTTAGAATAAGTGACCAACGCTAGAGGGGGGTGAATAGCGTTTGATCGTAGAAATCGCAGGAATAAAAAATTAAGAACGTGAAAGATAAAGAGCGTAGAAAACGTAAAGGGAGCACACCAAGATTTACCCTGGTTCACCACAACTTGTGGCTAATCCAGCCTCCCGAGAGACTCTCTCGAGCTTCACTACTTCCGTTAAGCTTACGGGTGCTTAACAAACCGTTACAACCTGAGAACTCGAGTCCCACGAGCCTCAACAACACTTGCTCGGAGATACCGCACTCCAGGACTTCAACCCGAAGGAAAATACCTTTCCTTCGTACAAACAAGGAAAACAAGCTTCCCTTAACGTGTATACAACACTAAGACACTCAAGAACAAGGCTCTCTTTTAGAGTAGATGTTGAGTAAACTATATACGCTCAAAAAAAACTCAAACTTCACAAATTGGCACTAGAAAGGTATGAAAAATAATGTTGTTTGAATGCAATGATAATATGAATATTGTGAAGTGAATTTGATGCGTAAAGCAGACCCAACACCCCTTTTTATAGTGCCAAAATAGGCTCCAACGGACCAATACATTAAACGGTGATTGGCTTGATTTATGGGATTGAATAAATTTGGGATCTGCAGGATATTGGCTTCCCAGCGATGTATGAACCTTACCCATCGCTGGTAGGCCCATTTTCCTTTAGTTTTGAAGCCAACGGTCACCTACCCATCGATGGGTACATGCTTCCCATCGCTAGGTGGGCGGTTGACTTCCAAACATGGAAAGAATCAACCTTAAATGACTTACAACGGTCATGCCTTCCCATCGATGGTTAAGCCTTCCCATCGCTGGGTTCCCATCGATGGGTAAAGATTCCCATCGCTGGGTAAGGGCATTCTGCCTTGTGATAACGTTGGACCAAGGCTTTAAATGCGATGGGTAGAACCTCCCATCGCTGTTTGGCATGGTTCTGGAAGTTGGTTTGGCTAAGGGTCCGCTTACCCATCGATGGGATGTTCTCCCCATCGCTTGGTGGGTGGTTAGCTAAAAACCTATGGTTTTTGCCTTAACCACGGCCTAGCCAACCGATGCAAAAACCAACCGAAAAATCCAAAGTTCTCCAAAATAAAAATCAAGTGTTTAAAACACTTATTTGATGTATTGGGCTAAGAAATCAAGTGAGACACTTTAAAAACCATGTCATTTGAGTAAAAACCACGGTTAGCCAAGTTTATGCCGTTTTGCGTGGTTTTTGCCAAACGACCAAAAACGAAAGGTGGTTTTCAAAGTGTTTTTGTTGGAGATCTGTTTAAACATGCCAAGAAGTAAAAACCAGTCATAAAAAAATGAAAATCACTTGGTTCGTTCGGACCCCAAAAACCAACGCCGATAACCGAAAGGCGAACGCCGGTTTCTGAAAGCCGAACGCCAGATGGCTTGGTTTTTGGTTTGGGCGAACACCAAGTGTTTTTGTTGACTTAAACATGTTTGAAAAACAGTTTTATGATGTAAGAAATTCAATGAAAATATTTTAGCCTAAAGAGCCAAGGTGTAAAGATTGGGTCGGTCTTGATCACAAATGAGACCGACTCAACGACACTAAGACTACGATCTTCGTTCTTGGTCTTCGTATAGCTTTTGTTCTTATCTTCGTTCTTCGCCTTGTATATTCAATTTCTTATCTTGATCACGGCGGTTTGGCATTATCAAAACCTATTACAAAACGAACACGACTTTAGTACGAAAACGTGACAAGCCCGTGTTTCAACAATTTCCCCCTTTTTGATAATGGCAAACAAAACGAGGTTATGCATAGGAGGATTTAAAAAAAATGTTCCCTCTTAATAAATATAATTTGATTTTTAACAAAGTGTTTGAGAAAAAAAATTCCCCCTCAATTAATGCATAACCTTTATATCTTCCCCCTTTTGTCATTAACAAAAAGATTTAAAAGTAATTTTTATTCATTAAAAGGGAAATGCGGAATACAACGGAATGGGAATAATTAAAAAAAATACAATCATATTAAAAGAAAGAAGATTCTAGGAGTCGGCGTCGGCGTCCTCGTCGTCATCCTCGTCGTCCTCGACGTCCATGGGATCACCGTCGACCGCATCTTCAAAGTTGGCCTCGTCGGGGGAGGAGGACGGAGCGTAGGAGTCGTCGTCCTCATCCTCGCCTTCAATGTTTTGGCCGAGAATGGTGCTGTCGAAAGGTGGCGGAACGTAGTTGACGCCACGGAAGTATGCCATCATGTCGTGGTGTTGGCGTTGCAACGTCCAGTCCATTCGCTCGATTGACTGCCCCATGCCATCCACTGTGAGGGTTAGCCGATTCAGGGTATCGGCTATGGACTGCAATGAGGCCCGGGCGGGAGCGGGGGCAGGTGCACGGGCGGGGGCACGAGCACGACTCGGTCCGGCGTCGTCTCGGTCTCCGGACTTCTTCCGGAAGGTGCTGTCTTGAATGATCCAAATCTTCGTCATCTTCGTATCCGGGCCGGCGATGGAGATGTCGGCGGAGATGATGAGGTCCATGACGAGGAAGGCGTATGGCAAGCTCCGCTCAGTGGCGATGGAGGCGCAATCCGCCATGTGGATCATCACGAATTTCGCCCAATTGATGGAGGCGCCGTGGATGATGGCGTGAATCGCCTTCAAGTCCTCATTGAAGAGCGAGGTATGGCTGATGTCCCGGGGGCGGAGAATCCGGGTGATGATGTAGAGGAGGAGGCGCTTGTCCAGTGGGGCCGAAAGAATCGTCGGTGCGCCGCTGTGGCGGATCAAGTTGGTGATCCCAAGCTCACGAATGACGACCACCTCGTTGTTGAGGATCTAATCGTCGCCACCATAAGTCGCGATGTCGTCACTGCGGATGGGCAGCCCTGCGACCCAAGCAAAGGTAGGAAAATAAATCTCTATGTCGTAGAGATTGATGCTGCTGCGTATGGTGTCCCCGTCACGGCGGAGATTGGAGTAGAAGGCCCGGACGAAGACGGGATTGAAGCTCAAGCGGCTCTTGGAGACGAATGGCCACAAACCCGACGCTTGGAGTTGGTTGTCGAGGTCGTGGTACCCTTTGTCTTGGGGAAACAACTCCGGGAGCACGCGAGGCGGAGAGATCGGGCGCTTGGCGAAGTGAGTGAGGAAGCGTGTGAGTTATTCCTCCGACCCGAACTCAAGAAATGAGCCATCTAGATAGGGAAACGGCTGGGGCGCAGAGGTCGTAGCTTCAGCGTTGCCCTTCTTCTTGGAGGCCTTCGACTTGGATTTTCCACCGGCCATTGTTGAGGGAAAAAAAATGAAGAAAGAGAATGAATTAGGCTTAGGAGATTGAAAATTGGATGAAAATGGTGTGTTAGAATGAGCAAGGATGATGATAATATATAGGGAGAGGGTGGATTTCCGTTTGAATTTTTAAAAAATAGCTGTTGGGCCATTAATGATGATGCCAACGGTTCTGAAATTTTGAATTTCACCAGCCTTCCCAGAGATGGGTAGATCTTCCCATCAATGGGAAGGGCGCTACTGGAAAGCGAAGGGGAAAATTGAACTGCCTTCCCAGCGATGTGTGGATTCTCCCATCGATGGGAAGGTGGATTTTGGAAAGTGAAGGATAAAAGACGAAAGCCTTCCCAGCGATGTTAATACCATCCCATCGCTGGGTTGGTGATTTTGGGACTCCGATAAAAAAGTTTTAAAAAAATAGTGTCAAACACCCAACGATGGGAGGAAGTACCCATCGATGGGTGGGGAGGTCCTGGAAAAAGTTTTAAAAACACAAGTCATTCACCCAGCGATGGGATAAAATACCCATCGATGGGTAAAGGGTTTCTGGAAATCCGTTAAAAATTTTTAAAAAAATAGTCAATTACCCATCGATGGGAGAAGGTACCCATCGATGGGAAGAGGGGTTCTGAAAAAAATAAACTTCCCTCCCAGCGATGGTATGAACCCACCCATCGCAGGTTCCCCCCGATTTCCAGATTTCTTCACTTCGAACCATCCCTGCAAAAACAAGCAGTGTTTTGGTACCCAAAATATGTATATGGGTCTTTGGGGGTTAGTTAACCTTTATTGCCCACACACACCCAAAATTAGTTTCAATACGCCCACACACACACACACACTCACGCGATTAGATGATTGTTTAGGAGTTACCTTGCCCAACCCATCGTCTCGTGGTCGACGGGTTCCAATCTACCTGAACGGAGTGTCGATATCTCGGTGTGATTTGTGTCAGTTCCGGTAACGAAATGTGGACATTCTTCTTTTCGTCAAAGTAGAAGAAATAATAAGGTTTCTTTTGTGCATTGTCCTGTGGAGATTGTTTATGATTCGAATATCCTTTTCCAAAGGATTTCTTTTTATTAGCACCAAATACGTTGTGTTTCATTGTAGGTGAAGTGCCTATGTCTGGTGAAACACACGGGAGCTATATGTCCCACCCTATTGCAATAATGGCATACTACGTTTGGGTTGAACATATGCATAGGTTGATAATAGCTAGGGGGTCTAACCATATTCATCCTATTTTGCGAAAGCATTGGTTTTTCAAAATTCTCCCTTCTAGGTGTCCTAGCATTATTTTGTCTATTTGAAAAATTATAATTTTTATGCACAAATTCATTTTGATAATTTTTCTTAGGTTGTCTAACATGCACATTTTCATTCCTAGGTTTTTGTCTAGGTTGTCTAGTGTCCTTAAGTTGACTAGATTTTCTATTATCTTGATTTTTAAATTTCTTACGTTGAGCCTTAGGAGATTGTCTAGGTGTTTGCTCAGCGTTTCTTTCCTTAGATTTGTTTTTATCAAAGCCTAGTCCTTCCTTAGAAAAATGCATGGTGTCAAGGAGTAAGCTAAGATCTTTGTGTGGGGTATTGAATTTCTTAACCGTACTCTCAAGTTTTGCAACCTTTTCTTTTAAAGCTTTACAAGATTCACATTCACTTGAAGAGCTTTCCGGTTTGTCAGCGCTTCTTTTGCCATAAAATTTAATTTCTTGTTTTAGCTTTTCATTATCTTTTTCTAGTTTTTCAACATCATTTTCAAGAGTTAAAAGACGTTTCTTTAATGATTTGTTAATTTTAGAAGCGCTAACAAATTCATCATAAAGTTCATGAAGCGCTTCTTGCGTTTCTTCAAAAGTGTAAGAGTCGGAAGAAATGGTACATACCTCTTGTTTATTGTCGGTTTGGTCTTCGTGTGCCATGAGACAGAGGTAGGCAGTTTCATCCTCGTCTTGGTCAGTTGACTCGTCGCCGGAGTCGCCACCCCAAGAGATGTATGCTCTTTGCTTTTTGAAGTGGCGAGTGTTCCTTCCGTTTCTCGGGCATTTGTTCTTGATGTGCCCGGCTTCACCACATCCATAGCACACAGGGCCATCCTCAACCTTTTCTTTCTATCTTAGAAGTTTGCAAAACTTCTTCATGACAAGCTTGACTTCATCATCATCGCTTGAGTCATTCATTGTCGGTTCTTTGGAGGCTTTTAATGCTATGCCTTTTCTTTGGTCATTCAAAGACGGGTTAAGTATAGTAGATTCATATGTTTTTAAGTTACCTCTTAAACCGTCGATGGTGACATTTGATGTGCCGATTGACTCATAGATGGCATCGGCCTTAGATCGCCATTCGGATGTCAAGCCGCGTAGGATCTTTCGCACAAGATCCCTGTCGGTGTAGGTCTTCTTCAATGCATGAAGATTGTTCACTATCTTGGAGAATCGGTCGAACAAGTCGTCGATGTTTTCGTGCTCCTTCATTCTAAACATCTCATACTCTTTGGTGAGGAAGTCGATCTTGGCTTCACGTACTTGGTCCGTTCCTTCGTACGTCACCTCAAGTTTATCCCACATCTCCTTGGCGGTTGAGCAGCAAGAGATTTTGCGGTAGTCATCAGGATTTACGGCATAATAAAGCATGTTTATTGCCTTTGCATAATTCTCGACCTTTTTGATGTCCTCCGCATCAAATTCATCTTCGGTCTTGGGGATCAATTTGTCCTCGACTTTCTTCATCGGCACCTCTTCCCTGTTTTTGATAACCAACCATAATTGGAAGTTCGTGGAACGAATATAGATTCTCATTCGTTCTTTCCAATATGTATAACTGGTTCCATCAAAAAGAGGTGGTCGTGTGGTTGATTGCCCTTCACCTATTCCTGCATACAAATTTCTAGAAGAAGAACCCATGATCGCTTTTACTCTCAAACGGTTAAGTTTGGACGCGAGTTAGGCTCCGATACCAATTGTTAGAATAAGTGACCAACGCTAGAGAGGGGGTGAATAGCGTTTGATCGTAGAAATCGCAGGAATAAAAAATTAAGAACGTGAAAGATAAAGAGCGTAGAAAGCGTAAAGGGAGCACACCAAGATTTACCCTAGTTCACAACAACTTGTGGCTAATCCAGCCTCCCGAGAGACTCTCTCGAGCTACACTACTTCCGTTAAGCTTACGGGTGCTTAACAAACCGTTACAACCTGAGAACTCGAGTCCCACGAGCCTCAACAACACTTGCTCGGAGATACCGCACTCCAGGACTTCAACCCGAAGGAAAATACCTTTCCTTCGTACAAACAAGGAAAACAAGCTTCCCTTAACGTGTATACAACACTAAGACACTCAAGAACAAGGCTCTCTTTTAGAGTAGATGTTGAGTAAACTATATACGCTCAAAAAAAACTCAAACTTCACAAATTGGCACTAGAAAGGTATGAAAAATAATGTTGTTTGAATGCAATGATAATATGAATATTGTGAAGTGAATTTGATGCGTAAAGCAGACCCAACACCCCTTTTTATAGTGCCAAAATAGGCTCCAACGGACGAATACATTAAACGGTGATTGGCTTGATTTATGGGATTGAATAAATTTGGGATCTGCAGGATATTGGCTTCCCAGCGATGTATGGACCTTACCCAGCGCTGGTAGGCCCATTTTCCTTTAGTTTTGAAGCCAACGGTCACCTACCCATCGATGGGTACATGCATCCCATCGCTAGGTGGGCGGTTGACTTCCAAACATGGAAAGAATCAACCTTAAATGACTTACAACGGTCATGCCTTCCCATCGATGGTTAAGCCTTCCCATCGCTGGGTTCCCATCGATGGGTAAAGATTCCCATCGCTAGGTAAGGGCATTCTGCCTTGTGATAACGTTGGACCAAGGCTTTAAATGCGATGGGTAGAACCTCCCATCGCTGTTTGGCATGGTTCTGGAAGTTGGTTTGGCTATGGGGCCGCTTACCCATCCATGGGATGTTCTTCCCATCGCTGGGTGGGTGGTTAGCTAAAAACCTATGGTTTTTGCCTTAACCACGGCCTAGCCAACCGATGCAAAAACCAACCAAAAAATCCAAAGTTCTCCAAAATAAAAATCAAGTGTTTAAAACACTTATTTGATGTATTGGGCTAAGAAATCAAGTGAGACACTTTAAAAACCACGTCATTTGAGTAAAAACCACGGTTAGCCAAGTTTATGCCGTTTTGCGTGGTGTTTGCAAAACGACCAAAAACAAAAGGTGGTTTTCAAAGTGTTTTTGTTGGAGAGCTGTTTAAACCTGACAAGAAGTAAAAAACAGTCATAAAAAGTTTAAAATCACTTGATTGGGTCGATCTTGATCACAAATGAGACCGACTCAACGACACTAAGACTTCGGTCTTCTTTCTTGGTCTTCGTATAGCTCTTGTTCTTATCTTCGTTCTTCGCCTTGTATATTCAATGTCTTATCTTGATCACGGCGGTTTGGCATTATCAAAACCTGTTACAAAAACGAACACGGCTTTAGTACGAAAACGTGACAAGCCCGTGTTTCAACACATTTAACTCCTACCCGTTGGAGCCTATTTTTCTACTATAAAATGGGGTGTTTGGGTCTGCTTTACACATCACATTACTTCACAACTCCTATTCTTTCATTGCATAACATTCATACATTATTCATAGCTTTTCAAGAGCCATTTTTGTGAAGTTCATGTTGTGTTCTTGAGCGTTCTTAGTTACTCATTATCCACTCTAAAAGAGAGTATTGTTCTTGAGTGATTTAGTGTTCTTAGACACTTGATAAGATAAAGCTTTTCTCTTGAGTAGTTCGAAGGAAGTGTTGTTTCCTTCGAAGGTTCGTTGAGGTTCGTGTGACTCGAACTCTCAAGTTGTACGGGTTTGTTAAACACCGTTAAGCTTAACGTTGATAGTGTAGCTCGAGAGAGTCTCTCGGGAGGCTGGACTAGCCACAAGTTATGGTGAACCAGAGTAAAAACGGTGTGCTTCTTCCTTGCTCTTTACTTTACGCTTTTAATTTTTTTATTCATGCGTCATTTTCGTTTCAAACGCTATTCACCCCCCTCTAGCGTTGGGACGTTTTTCTAACAAAATCAAATCACACACCTAATCCACAACCTCTTCGCCACTACAAATCTCTCTATCAACATCAATGGTAAAAATACCAAACCTTTTCAGACTTTTAGGGGTTAAAACAAGGAGATCCCCTATCCCCCTACCTCTTCATCATTGCCTCAGAAGGATTCAGCAGAACTCTGAACAAACTTGTCCTCAGCAAGAAATTGCAGGCTACAACTTGGGAAGAAATTATCAGCCTATCTCTCACCTAGCCTTCGCAGATGATCTTATTCTTTTCACCAATGGCTCTGGTCCTAATCTTAAACAAGTTCACAGCTTTTTGAGGAAATATGAAAGGTGCTCAAGTCAAAAGGTGAATATGGATAAAAGCAACTTTTTCACACCCCCCCCAAAACCCCCAACCATAGAATACACTACATGTGCAGTACCCTTGGCATGAACCATGGTACTCTGCCCTTTAAATACTTGGGTGCTCAAATATTTAGAGGGATTAACAGAGCCCCCTACTGCCAAACACTCATTGATCAATTTAACAATAAATTGAAGGGTTGGCAGGGTAGGCTACTCAGCCATAGTGGCAGACTTATCCTCCTCAAACACAACCTAAACTTCATTCCCCTTCACACCCTAGCAGTCAACAAACTCCCTAAATTAATCATTCATCTGTTACACAACAAGATGTGCACCTTCCTCTGGGAAACATAGAAGGGAAAGAAAGCTACCATTGGGCATCATGGGACAAGATTTGCTTGACAGAAGACAAGGGAGGTTTAGGAGTCAGATCCTTGGATAATCTCCTTTTTTCAGTGGCGCCTTCACCACAAACTACTACCCTTCCTTGCACAATTGAGGAAATTTGGAATCACCTCCATGCCTTCCACATGCTATCTATGCAAAAGGGATAATGATACAGACTATCACGCTCTCTTTCAATGCCCCTACGCTAAACCCATTTGGAGCTACTTTGAATGGATTTTCAAAATACCGTGGCAAGCAACACACGGTGTGAGAGCCTACCTTCACAAATGGTTGACAGAATACCATACCCAGACTCTAGAAGGATGGCTCAAAGGAATCATACCTGGGATCATCTCTCACCAAATTTGGAAGGAAAGAAACTGGCACATCCATGACAACAGCAGCAAAGATTCGGGGAGACTACTTCAAGACTGCATCGCCCAAGTGCAGGACTGGGTTCTTGGAAGGGCTCCTTCCAAGATTAAGTCCTTCGGTGACTGGAGACTCCCCCCTGAACTTATGTCTCAGCAGCAAAGAACCCCAACCCTTAGAATCCACATATGGACCAGCAACACCTCGGACAACGGACTACACCTATCCACAGATGTTGCAATCAATCACAATTATGGGGTGGCAAGCGCAGTACTATGCAGAGGGGACGACATCTTCATCGCAGCAGGAACATGGAAGATTGAAGAAACAACTGCCTTACAAGGTGAAGCAAAATCTTTAGCTATTGGAATGGATTAGGCTGAACACTTTGGGAGAAATATTTGGGCCATCACCAACTGCGAAACTCTAGTCAAGTCAATTTCCAATTTCAAAAACCCGGGAGTCAACCACGAACTTTGGACAACTCTCCACCGTGCTTTTACACAATCAGGTCACAAGAACTCCTACATACCTCGAGAGGGAAATATGAGAGCCCGTCAATTGGCCAGATGGGCCAGCCAACATAATCTTTTTAGTCCTTGTATTTCTTTTAACATTACTTCCCCACAAGCCCAGGGAGCAATCACAGCTGATGTATCGCTTCCTTTCTTTCGTTAATCAATAAAAAGCTTGTTTCATTAATATATATATATATATATATATATATATATATATATATATTGGTTCTCGTGAGAATGCAATCTTAGGAGAAAAATGAGAACGAATCTGGAGCTCTAGATTGTGAGATCTAAGGGTCAAGATTGCATCAAAATCAGATGCAACAAAACGGTTTAAAAATGCATCACGTCGAAATGCATCATAATCCTTTGAAAATGCACTATCTCAAAATCTGAGAGGATGCAATCTGAGCCGCACGATGCATCAGATCTAAAGGCTAGATTTCATTCTCATTTCTCTCCACAAGCTGCATTCTCACAAGAACCGGCCCCTATATATATATATATATATATATATATATATATATATATATATATATATATATATATATATATATATATATATATATTTATTTATTTTTATATATATATATTTTAATCAAAAGATTTATTAATGAAAACGAAACGAAGGTACAATCTCTTTGAGCAAGTGCAGCTCTAACTTTAGTTGGACAAGAACTAAGATAAGAATACATAATTAACGGATCATCCTTGTTCCTATCTTCCTTTGCTAAAAGATCAGCCGGCTGATTTCCTTCCCGAAGCACATGTGAAATCCAAACACCATTGTCAGAGATAAGGCGTGAAAGAATGTCAATAGGGAAAGGAGAGGTAGCAAGGTGAGTGAATTTAGAGATCCTTCAAATCACCTCCAAAGCATCCGTTTCAAAAATGATATCTTTCTGAATAGATAACGCCCATGTAATAGCTTGAATCGCTGCAAGAACCTCTGCTTGGAAGGAAGAGTTGCATGATAGACGAAAGGAAGCTGCGCAGACAAACGAACCTGCTTCATTATGTAGAATACCAGCTCCCCTTTGGCAGTGTGAAGTAAAAGAGGCATCAACATTAAGCCTAAGCCTGCCCTTTGGAGGAGCCAACCATTTAACAATACGCACCTTAGCCTCCATTTTGAAAACAGGTAAAAGATTCATATTGGTGAGCCACGCATCACTACGCCAAAAACATATGTTGACAACTATTTTTATTAGTAGTCTGACACCGCTGTTTTCAGTAGTCTTCCGAGCAGCTGGTTGATAGACTGGTAGACTTCTGTTTTCCAATGGTTGCGTAAAACCATATCCGACACCAGCTTTTTGGAGTATAGCACGACTGTGGTTGTTTGTCATCTACTTTTGATGCGAATTACTGTTTCATTTATGCTTAGACAACTGTTTTCTCGTGTTGTATGTAGGAATTGAGACCACTGCTTTTGTCTTTTTTGAAACAATTGTTTCTTTTAGTTGTATAGCGATTATTAACATTATGGTTTTGTTTAGTTGTCCTTGAAATATTCAAACTATATTTTTGAACAGTAGTGTAATTGATTATCAGACAACTGCTCGGAAGACCACTACAAATATTTTCGTCATACAACTGTTATTTTGTGTTGCATGTACGAATTGAAACTACTACATTGGTCTTATTTTAAACAACTATTTATTTTAGTTGTATAACAATTATTAAAACTATGGTTTTGTTTAATTACCCTTGAAATATTCAAACTATATTTTTGAATGGTAGTCGAATTTAGTTATCAGACAACTACTCGAAAGACTACTAGAAATATTTGCGTCAAACAACTATTATTTTGTGTGGTATATCTATAGGGTAGAAGACTATTTTGTTTCGTTTCAAACAACCCTATGTTCCAAATGTCTAGCAGTTATTAACACTACAGGTTTATGTAGTTATCCGTATATGATTCAAACTATCAAGTTGAATAGTGGTCGAATTGTTTATCCGACAACAGTTATTCGTATTGTCTCTCTAAATCATAGGCACCCATTTTTAATAATTAAAATTTGTTTCAATTATAAAATATTAATCACGAAATAAAAATAAATTCCAAAAATTGTAATACATCGAGTAGTATCTAAAGTCATACATTCAAAATATTAATATCATCTAATAATTTAATACTCCGTATTTACATAAATAAAAATACATTGTAATTGCTCATTTAGCCAAATAAATTAGTCATTTGTTCCCATGTCATACTTGAATTGTTCAAGTAGCATGATACTTCATGAAATGTCGTGCAAATTCAATCATTATCTCATACATGTCATCTTGAAGGTAGTAATCGATTGATACCAATAACCTTTATCTAGCTACTTCATGAAAGCCTCGCTCTTGTGGATCGACCTAGTAGTTGGTTGCAATTGAACCTAATATTAAAATAAAAATGTGTGAATGTGGTAACTGAACTTAGTTGTACTTCACGCACAAACAAACTTTTTCATACAATTTGATAATAATATTCATACCTTTTGGAGTGATTGGTCCTTGTGTGATTTTGCATTCCTCTCTAATGCTTGAAAACATTATGGCAAATAATCATCATGGAAATTTTTCAAAATATAGTGAAGGTAAAAGACTGATGAATTAAGCCAAACCCTTTATTAAGATAGAATACAAAACACCATCTGATTGAAGTGTGCCTACATCTATTTGGATAGTCCTCAATGCATCCAATGGATAGTCCTCAATACTTCTATTTAAATTGTTTACACTATACTCAAACAAAATATTATGTTCAATATTTTCACATTTAAAGACGGAAGAGACCACGTTGTCTCCACTAAATGCACATTGGGGCGATTCACAAATATCAGGTGTTACAGCTACCTGTAGATTAGGCATAATCATATCATGGGTATCCCTAGAGTAAATAACATCACAATCTTGGGGTATGTGGCTGTAACCTCCCACAAATAATGAAAGTAAATCACTTGGTGTATTAGACATTCAATCACCTCCTTGTTGGCAACCTTACTTATCAGATTGATACTAGAGAATTAGAGTGGAATTAATGTGCATCTGTTAACACATGTATCATGTTCTGCTCACATGTTATATAAATCTAAAGGTAATTTTGAAAAAGAGCTTCCCAGTCAAATTAATGATGCTACTTCAAAAGTGAATCTATTCTTCCTGGTAACATGGAGTATTCTGCTCACAGGTATCATGTTCTGCCTGGTTATATGGAGTATTTTAGAATCTGTCTTGGTAGATTTTTTTATGAAAGATAGCCTCATTCTTATATTATCTTATTTTATTTATTGTAGATGATCAACAAGCATAACCAATGATTTTAATTAAATGCTCTCAGGCATGTTATATTCTGTATGCATTTTAGTGTTGCTCCCTTACCTGTTCCAAGTTATCAAATCTAACACCACTCTACTCATTTATTCACCAAACACAGAAAAAAAGATAGCAGTAACACAATGACATCTACTAACATTAAACTTGTTAGAAGAAAGTATTATGTACAAACCAAACCTTGCAAACTTTCAAATTCAGTATAAACCATAACCAAATCTTCCTGCTGCTGCCTGCGGACGCTGCAATTGTCCGAGTGGTCTTGGCGGGGGTGAAGTATGGTTGCTATTGGACAGGGTTATCTCTGTCGGAGTTGCTGCTGCACTAAATTGAAACACATGAGGTAGGAAGGGGAGGCGGGGATCGCAGGAGTTGCTGCTGCACTAATAGAGAAGAAAAATCAAAATTAGTACCATTTAGAATCGATACCTATGGATCTCGAGGCATAAAATGTAGTGGAGACTAATCCTAGAGTATGATATACATCATACTTCATTTAACATATATTTTTTCAAAGAACAATTCAGGATGATGATGAACCATTACCAAAGACCCAAAACACACCAAAGAACAACAAACAATGACCAATTTTCCATCAAGCTACCCTCACAAGCTATATTAGAAGACAAACACCCAAATCAATCAAGGCCAGGCAGTCCTCAACAAAACAGCAAATAATGAATAGTAAAGAAGAACATGAACAGTGTAACAAAACCAACAACTCCAGGGAATCTAGTATTGATTATATGAATCAGAAATCTAAAAAAATACTTAATGGACCTTAAAAACTGACCAAGAACCATAGAAAGTGGAGAAAACACAAACAAGAAACCTGGTTAAAACTGGACTGCGATGCTACACTGTAAACTATGCACGGAGTCCTAGAATTCGCTCGTTTCAAAGGAATCTTTGACTGGAATGGAAGCAAAACTTCATACCTCTAAAGAGCATTTCAATCCGCTCAAAATACCCAACAAATTGGATTTCAATTGATCTCGAATCAAGGTTGATTCAAACCTTCAAGGTCGTGGATGAATAGTAACCTCTAGAAGGCTGCCTTTAATTCTGTAAAATCAATTTCCTCAAGGAGTCTAATTTTTTAGGGGGAATCCAATTTTTTGACTTTTTTTTGGGCGCATTTTTTCCCACCTAAACAAAATTTCATCCTTGACAATATTTTTTGAGGGGACTTCAAATTTTTGAGGCGAATCAAATTTTTTTGAAATTTGTTCATTTCGTTCAGAAAAAAAAAGTTTATTAAATTTATCCTTAAAAAAACTTTACCAAATTTATAGTTTCTTCGTCCCAAAAAAATTGTCACAATTTAACTTTTTTAGTCAAATTCTGCAACACTTTGACCATAATTTGTGGAGAAAGTATATTTAGTTATAAAACTTAGGTTTTTATTTTGAAATGTAGTTTTGATATATTAAAATTTTATAACATATAATTATGTAAAATTATATTTAATTTGAGCTCAAAATGTGTCACTGTTTGACCAAAAAAGTAAAACTATAACTATCTTTTTGGAACAGAGAGAATAGAAAATTACTCTCATATGATATAGATTTTTTTAAAATAAATGAAATTAGTTAGAATATAAAGTTATCAAAGATTTTCAAATGTTATAATTTACTATTATTATTATAAAGTTCTACTACGTAATTGTTTTTTGTTATAATTTAGTATTATTATTATATTCTTAATCATGTAATCTTAATCAATATCTTTAAGATAAAAAAGTTTTGTCGTTTTTCTACACAAAAATCTACTTTAATAAAAAAATCAGTTTGGTGCATTTTTATATTTTACTCATGCTAAAATATTTGACTTTAAACATTTTTTATAAATGGAAAAACTTGAAAAATTGGAAAAAATTATAAGGAACTGCAAAAACTGGAAGAATTTATCTAAATGACTTACATACCTTAATTTGAACAAATATATAAGTTATTCAGCAGTATATAGGTTTTTCAACCGTATATGTCTTATTGCTTGCATATTTCATGTGAGCCATTGCATCTCAAGTCAACATTTTTATATGTTGTTTAGATGATATCTAATGAATTCAGATCTCATCATACCATATTAGACTAGATCAAATTAAAAGAGTTTTTAATATAACTAACCGGACTAATTAGGTCAAATTGGACAAAAACAGATCTTATCGGAATAAATCAAGTCAAATCCAATAAGATCAAAATCAAATCTTCAAAAATATTGAATCAAATCAAATTCAAATCTAGTAAGATCGGATCAAATATTAAAAAAATCAATTTTATTGTATAGGTCGTGTCATATTTGCCTTATCTAATCCTTAAATGCATCATATCAGATCTAATTAGATTGAATCAGAAAAAAATAGATCTAATCAAATAAAGTAAAATTCAAATGTATTAAGATTAGATCAAATCTTCAAAGAAACAATTTAATTATATAGGTCGTGTCTTGTTTGCCTGATCTAATCTATAAATGCATCAAATCAGATCAAATTAGATCGAATTAGAGCAAAACAGGTCAAATCAAATCAAATTCAAATCTAATAAGATCAGATCTAATCTTTTAAACAACAATTTACTTGTGTTGGTTGTGTCTTATTTTTGTGATATAAACATTAAATGCATCAGATCGGATCTAATTAGATCGAATAAGACCAAAACAGATCTAATCGAATCAAATCAAATTCAAATCCAGTAAGATTAGATATAATCTTAAAAAAAATCAATTTACTTGTCAAGGTTGTGTTTTATTTGCCAGATATAATCTTTAAATGCATGACTACAATCATATTCAATCCAAAATAAAACTACATATAACTACAATAATACTAAATCAGATTATATTTAATCAAATCAGATCTCATCATATCTGTTGTGATTATGTAATAAGATATAATCAAATATCAGAAACACTAATTAGGAGGATGTGTTCGGTCCTCTATTTTATATCTCTCATCAGATCTCTTGTGATTATATCTCTCCTATTTTATTTTTGGCCTTTGGGACGAACTGAAATATACTTTGATATCTAATATCATTATCTCGATAAATCTCATAGAATATAAATCCGAATATTGACTATTTATGTAATCTTGATTGGGAACCTAATACAGAACTAAATTAAGAATAAATAAAGAATTAATTTATGATATGAACTTTGAAATGATTTATTGAGACCTGAACAGATTAGGGTGTTACATTATTTCTCATAGATTTTAAAGCTCATATCTTATATCACCATCAAACCACACCAAACACACCCTAAATCTCTAGAAATTTTCATTTCCTTCTTCCTAAATTTGTTTTCCCTCTTTCCAATTTCACCTCCCTCTTCATAATTTCCTTTTTTTACTTTTAGCATCTTTTTTCTTTCTCCTTCATCAAAGAATTCTGCCGCCCCTCTCTTCTCAGATCCCTAGCTGCTACAACCTTCTTCTCCAATTCTTTCCAATCGGCGATGAGAGCAGCAGCGGCAACAATCCCCGGTGACCCTCATCAAACGCAACGATGCAGACCCATAACGGCGAAATTCCAGCGATTTGGCATCTACGATGACAGAGGCAGCGACCGGCGGTGATAGGGAATGACCTCAACTATTCCGACGATGGACTAGAGCTGTACCTATTCTGGTGACTTCCTCTGGCAGCAGTGACGAGGACCTGGGTAAGTCCACGCTGCTCCATTATTTGTGCTTATTTGTGTGTAACCAAGTTCAATATAAAAGCCACTTGAAGTATAATAATTTTATTTCTTTAAATGTGTAGGCTTATCGAACTGTGAAAATTGAGTTTTCAGGGGATCTGGCATGAATATGAGTGCAATTCTCTGTATCAGTAGCAAATGGTTTAGTGAGGTAATCTTTCTAATTCATACAATTATCTTCTTTAATAGAATATTATGTTCAAAGTGACATGTTCAAACTTTTCTTCTTTGAATAGAAACAGATTAATTAGTTTTTAAAACAAAAGGTAAATTTATAAGCAATTTTAGACAAAAAAACAGATTATTCTGTTTGGTCAATATGTTTAATTGAATCTACTCTAAATATATGGTAAAGGAATTTTAAAGAGGCCTTATTCTACATTGAGATTTTTTTATTTTTTAAAAACTGTATTTAAACATGAGAAATGATTTTATTATGAATTAATTAGAAAATCTTAAATAGATATTCTTAGAGAATAGGTTACTATTTGTTAAAGTGGTAATGTAGTGAGACAATATGTTCTTTAAACTGAAAATGTAAGGTATATACCTCAAAATTGTGATCAAATGTTGGAGGGCTTGTGCGTGATGAAGATGCACTCATTCTCACCACCTTTTGAGTAGAGATTCCCCTTGCCAATACCCTATACCAACTTCATTTATTTAGTGTTAGCTTTAAATTTAGTAAACAATATAGTTCAATAAGGTATACTCATAACGCTTACTATATTAAGAAATCGATATGAACCTGCTCATCTTGAAAAATTGATTCGTGGGCATAGGCTGTGTTTTCTACACTCTTTCTTAACTTGAGATCATAATGACGCAGGAGGCGAAGTTTCACAGGATCCCGATGTCTAGCAGCGTGAAGCCTGTTGAGAGAGACCCAATTTGGAGACATGTTTACAGGAGAGTGACAATTATAAAGAGAAAAGAACTGGTCTGATTTTACAAATATATGGAAGGCATCGTGAAAGAAGTGGGGGGGGGGATCATTTGGCATTTTGATTATTTTCATGCCTGATAAACTGGAAGTGCGTAGAGGCGTGCGCGACCCTATGTTCCCGCCGCGTAGTGAGTCGTGAAAGGGCAGTTTTGTTTTTTTAAATTATCTACGGTTTTTTTAAGGATTTGGGGTGAAAATCAAGGGCCTAGATTTCTCTAATCTAAACAAAATTAAAATTGAACCGTAGATAGAGTTGTGTGGCCAGGATTTGATTTTTTTTGATGGAATGAAACTGGGTCGTAGATCTAAGGAATGTGGCGGCTTAATTGGATTGCAATTTGTGATTGTGCTTTTATATGAGTATATAATAGATTTATTGTTTTTGTGGTTTGTTTTAGATCATAGTGGACATGTTTTACAATATTGAAGTTGTATAAGGCATTGTTTTGTTGTGCTATTTTATTCTTAAATAAAGTAAAAAATGTCCCGTTCAAAAAGCATTAATTATAGTTATGAACTAGCTTGTATTAATTCTTCCGTACAAGTTTGTGTCACTAATCCTAGAAATATAGAATTTTTATTTTTTTAATATTTACATTTTCAGACAGATTTTGGTCTCTATTACAAATAATTCCAAGTGACATGCTTGACCGACTTTATACAAATATAAGAGACTGAATTTTGTCTGTTTTCAAAGCTGTCTCATTTCCGTCTCCAATGAAAAGAGATGGAATATTTTCGTCCCGAATGAAATGAGACGAAATAAATGAGATAGATGAATTGGTATCTATTCTGTCTCACTTTTGAGACCATTACGAGACTAAATTTCCGTCTCTTTTCAACATGCATTCTTGTAGTGTATAGATAACCGTGAAAAAAAACGGTGTGACACACACTTCTAGTAATACATTACGGTTTCTCAAAACTTTAAAAAATAGTTCTAGGCTTAATAGTCTAACTACTGTTTAATAAGGGTATTCTTAATTTATTATATACAACTTGTAATAGATTACGGTTTCTATGAATTTTAAAAATAGTTCTGCGTTATTTAAATATACTACTATTACAAGCGAGTCTTCTATTCTTATAATAAACAACTATGCAAAACAAAATCATATGAAACATACAACTTACAATAGAATACTATTTCTTATAAGTTTAAAAACAGTTATAAACTTAAAAACCAGACTACTGTTTAGAAAAAATAGTCTTAATTAATTTTTGACAACTGTAGCAACAAAAACTGTATTTTTAGATGAAACGGACTACTAATGAAAAATTACTGTATCTCACAACTTTAAAAACAGTTCTACCTTTAGTTCATAGACTACTATTACTCCCTCCGTTCCACAAAACCCTTCCTCTTTCGTTTTTTTTG